AGACATACATTCATATAACCTCCTACCCCTAATTGAATCGCGATTTGTTTAGCATCTCAACCGATTTGAATCGTCACGTATTTGAATCGATTTTCAACCGGCTCGCGGTTAATCGTTACATCCCTAGTTAGTAGTAGTAGTTTTTGTACTAATTTTGCACGTTTTTTTTCTTGTGCTTTCTGGAACATTCCAGAACATTGTGGGACTGGTCATAAAAGACAAAAATCATACAACATACACATCTGAAGTGTTAGATGACTCACTTTTGGTAACCGTTTATGTTGAACTGTTGTTAGCTCTGTATTATGCATGCACCATGTGATTTTATGCACACGTAATGACACAGATTAGCTTATATAAGTTGTCCACATATTTTTTCATGAGCACACGATACACAAAAACTTCAAAAAGAAACATTAAAACTAAAAGCAAAACAAAACTTTTATAAAAATGTGTTTCACGGTGTAACAATAAGATAATGATAAGAAAATGAAGACCAGAGTAATGGCTGGTGATAAATCAGCTTTGCCATCACAGGAATTAATTATATATTTTAAATATATTAAAATAGAAAACAGCTCCAAAAGTAGAAAAATATTTATTCATGTTCTCACGACAGGTGACGCTTCGAGCCTACAAGCTCTTCATCAGACAATGAACACATCCATGTGTTCAACATCTTTTGAGTTCCACAGAAGAAAAAAATGTTGTACAGGTTTGAAGGTTGTACAGAGGGTAAATAAAAGATCCCAGAGTTTTGATTTGTGGGTGAACTATGTATTTCAACACAATTCACACTAATTGTGTGATTATAATGTGTGAGTTTATTACGTTTCTGTGAATGTGGTTGGCAGTAGGCACTCCTACTCAACTGCTGCATGTAAAACATCAGGTGACAGATCACGCGACACCTCAAATAAAACCCTAGCCTTAACTCTAAATGAAAATAAATGACTTCCGCACTTTTTATCACAGCAAATGTCACCTCTTTTGCTGTGAAACAAGAAGGATGCTTTGAGCAAGAATTTCAACACTTAGCTGCACACTGCACAGCATGCGGAAGAGGCTGTTCCAGTCTGCGTGAGTGGCCACGTTTATTCAAAAGCATGTAAATTAAGTCAACAACCCAAACATACATGCTTATAAAGTTGTATAAGAAACACAGAAAATACACCAGTGTTTTGAATGGCTTTTACTTTAAAATCCATCCAGAACACCTAGAAATAATATAAAAGCCAAACTGTTTAAGGCTTGTTTCTATGGCATAACATGATGCACAACATTATGGCATCTGCAAAGTGTGGGTCTAATAAAGTGAGAGCTGTCTGCCATATTAGAACGCTTGGCCTGTGCTGCACAAAGAATCCAGAGCCTGTTATAAGGTTGTTATTCAGAGCTTGGTAATATGATTACTAAAGACAGTCTTTGGTTTCTGCACAGCAACTACAGGTCCTGTCATTATATAAGGAGATGATGAAGGTGGCTATTTTGATCTTGATATTTAATACTTGCCAATGGCTGATGCTTCTAGCCAAAGCATACAGTGGGATTACTTTTATCAGGATTCAACTTTTGTGTTTGCAGCCCAAATTTGGTAAACCACAAAACCCTAACAAATGTGACAAAACCATGTAGAACTGTATGCCAAATGCCAACAGGAAAAAAAAAAACATTCCCAGAAATCCAGTCACTTCAAAAAAAGTATTCTTCAATAGCTCTTCTCTCAAGAAATACAATGAAATGATTGCTGTATAAACAGGAAGATCTGAGTTTAGTAAGATAAGACATTTCCTCTTCAAGAGAATGATTTTATGACACATATTTATAGAGGTGACCCTGACCCTCATCTTTTCTTACAATCTACTGACTGCTTACTGACCTCGGCACAGCATACCAAAGAAGGACTTAGTCCACAAATTGGACCTGCACACTGCATTCCTATTTTTCCTCTTTTATTTATTTATTTATTATTTTTTGTTCAGACTTGACAGTAAGAAGAGATACAGATGTGCCATGTTGTCTATAGTGTACACAGTTAATCATAGGTCAGTATTTTATAGAATTCAACTTAAAAACTTTGAATTTGTCTTTAAATTTCAAGTTGATATGAAGCTGGCAGATCTGAAGACTAAATCCCAAACCACATGCTATATCTTTGGTAAGAAATGATAAGCAAATGCATTTTTAATACAAACAGCTTAGCACTTTGGCATAAGATGATTGTAAATATTATAAGTTTTAATTGCAAAAAAGCAAGAACTGAACACTGCTGAGAATATAAATCTGTTGTTTACATTAGTTGTAAGATTGACATTGATTTCTGCTGTACAATCAACAGCTCTGAAGATATTTGAATACTGTATGACCACGACCTAGATAGTATCTGTCCTTCTGTGACCTTCCACATATTCCTAGATAACAGTATTAACAGAGTACAATAACTGACGGTAGACTGAGAAATTGTGGTCGTATTATACTCCCTAGACTCCACCACTGAAGGAAGTCTAGTTATATTTGGTCCTTTTGGCTCCTTTTCTTTCACTGTTTGAGCCACCTAATCCACCTATATGTTATTAGTTTGCCCTTTTTTGAATGGTACTAAATAAATACACAGCCATTCAGTGTTCCAGATTTTCAAATAGTTTTATCTCAGCCAACTATTGTCCGTTCCTAACAAACCATACATCAATGGAAAGCTTATTTATCCAGATCAATAAAAAAAAAAATTACCCTTATGACTGGTTTTGTAGTCCAGGGTCACATTTATATTTCATAACCATTTAAAGTTTAGCTATAGCTGAAAGCTTTTATACTGTTGTTTAATGTCAGTTTTTATTGTAACAGCTTACCTCATATAGCCTAATATGACAGCATGAACCCAGAACACACTGCCACAAAAGGTCGATCTTTTTTACCCAATCTTTTATTCTTGGGTAACAATGGTGGAAATACTCAATAACTTTTTTGTATCCCTGACTGAAACTGACTTTTAAAAATAAACATTAACACCACGTGTGGATAAACATGCTGAAGTATGTTGGCCTTATGTGTTTGTCAATATTGTGGCCATGTGATCATCAAGTGTCATCTCACTGACGCTCATACCTTATAATAGGCCCCATCTGAAGCAGATGCATGAAGAGCACAAGGGGTCGGTCTCTCCCCAAGTCCCGGTGCACGAACGTCAGCGTGAGCTGGGTCAGAACCGACGGAACCAACATGAATGTAATAGTCAGCCCCATCCACACTACGTCGTCAGTCTTATGGTACATGCTGCTGAGCACCGAGGCGCATATGAACTCCGCGCAGTACAGGACGGTGGTCCACAGCACGCTGAAGGGTGGATGAACTGTACCGTGGTTGATCACCATCATGACGCCGTTCTCAGTCGGGTTCGCGGCGGACTGCTGCGCCACCACCTCCGTGATGTCATGCTCGGTCGGCTTGTTGTTTTCCATCTTCTATCGTTACTTCTCGTGCGCTTTATATGGTTCGATCCGCGCAGCGTTCATGCCACTGTTTGTGAAAAGTCATCGACGGTGATTCGGATTTCAAATCAACCGTCTGCGTGGTGCATTTATATGAACTCCGCTCATATGCACCTCCACATATGCAGTTCTGTGAAGGAAAGTCACATGAGTATATAGTATGAAGTGATCCTCTGTGTTTTAAAGTATGCTACACGTACCCATCTAGACATTACGATGCCGCCAACGTCGATCAATTAAACTGTCTCCATTTCGCAGAAAGACTTTCAACGGTATTGTCTCTGATCAGAAAGCCAGGTGTGTCCTAACATGCAGTGTCTCTGGCTGCTGCTCTGCTGGAATAAATCCCCCGGGTCCTAGTGCACAGCGGTTGTGGTTAACCAAAGTTGATTCAAGATTTGTGAACTATCTTTAGTTGGTCTGTTTTATATTCTGTAGGCCTATCTTCTTTTCACTGCAGTTGAATGAGAGGGCAAACTGATGGCAGCAAATTGAATTTAAACGAGAAGATGGCAGGATCCTTGAGGCCTTAATATAAGCATTTTTTTAAATTGTCTGTTTATTTGCATGAAATGCAAGGTCAGGGGACAGCAGAGAGGCTTTGAAAGAGATTTATGGACAAAGAGCTTATAACAAAAGAAGAAAGCAGTACAAATATAGCCAGCTGTTACTCAGTACTTAATAAATAAATACATAAATATGTATAAGTGCTGGAAGTGAAATAAATTTGCTTAGCAAAGTAGCCACACCACTGTTAGAAATGTATTTTTTTAATTAAGTGCACAATTTTCCTTCTTGAAACGATTTTCAAGCACATTATTACCTATATGAGGGCATTTTTATCTTTAGAACTGCATATTTTCATTCTAACCTCATAAAACACACTTGTAAAAAATATGTAATTAATAATATTATACAGTATTTTGCTTGTCTTGTATATCTTAATGAATTTTTTTATGATCACCAGAGCTAAGATGATCATCAGTTCAACAACATCTGATGCTTTTCAAAAATGTAAGTATATGTTTTTTTATATAACGTATTGTACTGTTATACAAGTAATCTACTAGACACTCTTTTTCTGTAATGTTCTTTAATAATCATTTACTTAATCATGCTAATACAAGATCAACTGTTCCTGAAACACAAGATAAAAATGTATAAAGCTTGAATGCCTTGATTTCTGCTTAAACCACAGTGCAAACAATGATTGCTTTTGTGCGTTCAGTTGTTCACGAGAAAACAGCTTTACGTTGCCATCTGCTTTTCAAGTCAAGTCGAGCTTTATTGTCATTCCGCTACATGTGTGGACATACAGTGGAACAAAATGTCGTGTCTCGCAGGACCACGAAAAGAGTGTGTTTCTACAGGTGGTTTGTCCAGCCCACTCACCTGTATGTAGCACACTCAGAGTTGCACAATGTTTTTGAGCTTTTCAATGGTTTACATGTGGTGTGGTGTGGTGGGATGGGGGGGATCCTGGTTTCAGGAGGTAGGGCTGTGGATGAGGTTTCAGAGGGGGGTGAGGTCATTGGAATTGAGGGCTCTCACAGCCTGGGGGAAAAAGCTGTTGAGCAGTCTTGCAGAGCGGGTTCGGTACCGTGTTCCTGATGGCAAGAGCTGGAAGAGATAATAGGAGGGATGGGTGGAGTCCTTCACGATACTGGTGGCTTTACTGGAGTATCGTGCAAGGAAAATGTCCAGAATGGAGGGGAGAGGGGCACCGATGATCTTTGCAGCTGTGTTCACTGTCCGCTGTAGGGTCTTGCGTAATACATTACACATGTGGTGTGTTTATTCTCACAATTGCAACTATGTACTTGTGCCTCTATTTAGACATTACAATTCAAGAGAGAGCCTCCAACGCGTCTGGTGTCCCAGGGGCCTCACATGGCCATAAACAAGCCTTGTAAATACTCACATTGCAAACAGCCATTGCCTATGGCAGCCACATAGTAAAACACTAACAATGGCTATTTGAAAGCACCTGCCTATTTTTAAAGATTTTTTTTCCTCTATTTAGACATTACAATTCAAGAGAGAGCCTCCAACGCGTCTGGTGTCCCAGGGGCCTCACATGGCCATAAACAAGCCTTGTAAATACTCACATTGCAAACAGCCATTGCCTATGGCAGCCACATAGTAAAACACTAACAATGGCTATTTGAAAGCACCTGCCTATTTTTAAAGATTTTTTTTAAAGTTTTTTTTTTTTTTCAAATCTAATTTTCAGTATAGAGATTTAGCATGTCAGTTGAATATCTTTACTACATGAGGAGAGACACACAGTAGTGCTGTTGCTGTGCATTCTCACCCCCACAGACTGATTGTCCCAAACTGAACTAGCCATGATCAGTAAACGAATGCATATGGCCTTCTCTGACTCAGATCCACAGTTGTCAAGCTCTCAAATTTCCAGTGAATCATAGGATAATGCAGTGATTAGTAAAATACATGAGCTTGTGGAATTCTTGGATCTTAGATAATGTGGTATGTGCAGTTGTCCAGCCTGTGAATCAGGGAATCGGGTGTATTAAATGAGCCGCTGTAAGGACAGGCAACATGGTCACTGAGCTGTTTCCATTTGTGTCATGGCCAGCTGACGGGACATACTTCCAAAATGAATGTTATTTCCTGTTTCTTTGTAATTATTTGTGAAATTTACTAGCAGTTTCTGAGTGAAATCTGTTTCACCATCAAATTTGTTTTCAGTGTAGATCCTGAAATGACTGAACAGAAAAACAAATGTCTTGAATTGGACTTCTGGTGGTCAAATGTATGTCATACACCTCAGGAAACTCAATGCTGCAGCTTATCAGACCCTCACAGTGACTCCATCAGATGTAAACACTGTGTTCTCAACTGTAATTCTAAAATTCTTGGAAAATGAAAAGCAGCTGATAAAACGGGAAGTGATCAGATCATATAATCTTTTCTAACGCCTATGTCTCATATTTGTTAATTCAAATGTAATTGATTTAGATAAAGGTTGAGATTCAGCGCAGTTTGTGTACTGCGCTTAGAACAACCTTTGACTTGGAATCTTGTGACAGAGACAGACGCAGACTTTGATGTGGGTTGAGCCCGAAACTGCATGTTATTATCATAATTACAGTCTACCTGACATCAATTAAAGGCGCAGGAAAGATAGTCATGGTGAGGTCACTGAAGTTTGGTCTGAAATTGACTGTGTTATGTAGTGATGCTGTTAAAATTCCTGTAAAATGTATAACTGACCATATACAATGGCTCCGAAAAGTATTCGCTACACTTAAAATGTAGAAATATCACAAAATATGGTTAAGTAATTATTAAAAAAGAAAGAAAAGCAAGACATTGACTAAAATGATTACATTGACCAAAAAATGAGAATGGAATGGGTTGGTTAAGTAATTATTAAAAAAGAAAGAAACGTAAAGTTAGTTGGTTTCATTTCTTTGCAAATGCCACTTGGTTTGATATTTTATGTAATGCAAAGACATTTAAATACTTTTTGAATACTGTGTGCTTTTGAAATTTAATGGAAAAAAAATTCCGGCTAAAAGCCCATTCACACCAAGAACAATAACTACATAACTATAACAATATTTATATTGGTGTCCACTCCAACTCACAATATGACTCTGTTTATTATAAGCAATCGTAGCTGTTTAGTGCCTTAAATGCTTAAGCTCTTTAAAATCGGGTGGATTCTAATTGGCTGTCAATATTTTTACCATTCATCAACAGGGAAAAAAAAATCGATCTGAAAGTGATTCCAATGATGTAGCTATCATTATAACTTTGGAATGAATTAAAACTGTATAATTGTCATTATCGTTATCGTCCTTGTGTTAAAATCAGCATGAAACAAAAGTCGAGATCGTCTTTTCTTCCCAATTGTGACATATACGGCTTCTCAAACAAGAAAAAATGTAGGGCGGAACTTGATTTTGTCCATCAGGATTTAAATGGATCGTTGTTGTCTGCTAATTGCTGTGATCTCATATGAGTGACAGGTAGCTGGACAGGATGGATTATTGGCCAGCTCTTGTACCATCGATGCACACGTCATCAGAGAAGGGGAAGTTAATGTTTTTGATTAAAGATTAAGAGATCACATGAATGAAAAAAATAGGGATGTGCACGGATAAATAATTTACAATACTGCAATATTACATAAAAATAAGAATTGTCCATTTTGATTTGGTGTTAATTTGAACTCTGTGAATAAGCAATATTCTTCTGAAGATGGAGATTTCAGAAGCACGTACAAGTGAGCCTGCGTCACTTGGATTATTTATCTGCAAGTGGCGTGTAAACAACAGGATGACGTCACACTTTGATGCTCTACACAGTAATATGCATTAGACTGAGTAGTAGATAACATATTTCTCATTTACCTCAAAGTAGATGTCTATGAACTTTCCCTATAACTAAAATCTAAGTATTTGTTAGGATGTTTACATATATTTAGCTTAAAATAACCTGGCAGATGTCTACATTTAGCCCAGTTAAACCATGCAGAATAGCAGCTGTCACTTGTCTCCCATATGATTGGTTGTAAGGATGTGATGGCGTTCCTTCTAAGCTCATCCCACATGAGGTGACCGGATTAGAGGAATAAGTAAAGCCTGATTAGTTTTTAGCAGACTTGTGCAAAATGTCTCTGGAGAGACAAACAAAAACACATGGAGTCTGACATACTACTGTGAGTAATATTTTTTTATTGACTGTACATTAACTCTAAATATGTGATATGATGTGCTGTATTATGTCTCTGCATATGTTTGTAAACTCATTAATGCTGTTTATGATCACATGTGATTGTGCAGAGGAGTACACTGAATATTATAGTGGTAGTCAATATGCAGTTTAGAAATTACAGTTGTAGCATCCTTAATTATGTGTAAGGTGTCAGTTGGAAAGTTTTATGTCGAAAAAAATGTTTAAACGGATAAAGGGGTCAGGTGTTCAAAACGAGAACAGTATAATTGACTCAGACTACTCTTTAAAGGCTTACAGAACTGAACAGATGTACAGTGATGGACCAAGCACTAAAGCAGACCTTCCTACAACTCAGACACCTGTAAATGTAATTAGACTACTATGTGTGTGCACTGGATAGGAAGCTGCTATCTGAATATGAGCAGGTTATTTTGCCCTTGAAGATCTTATTCTGCTAGTTGGGTCAAAAACAAAGCCTATTCAGCTCTTTTGCAGTGTTTTGATCTCTTAAAGCCATGACAGCTAAAGACATGGCTTATGCTGATTCTTAAAAAGAAGGTTAGAGGTTTTGTTTTATATTGTTTTGTTGTAATATAAAGTGTGTTTACATTCTATTTATTTTTTACTTTTTGTTTTGCTGTTTTATATGCACCTTTATTTGGCTGTAAAATTAAGAGTTTATACATTTTTTTTATTTTTATTTGGCTGTAAAATGAAACATGTCTATAAAAGTAAATGTTTAAAAAATATTACAAATATTTTAAGTATTTTAAAAAATAAATTAAATAATTTTAAATAATAATTTAAAAGAATAAAATACATTTAAAATATGAATAAAATACTTAAAAACAAAATAATATATTTGTTTTAAATTATAAATAAAATACTCAAAAACTAAAACAAAGTGAGGATGGCTCTTTCTCAAAACTGATCCTATATTTGACCATTTTTTGTATTTGCTTTTCAAGCATTACAGGTATTAAGGGGATGGTGTGGGTGTCAGAAATTCAAGTAACTAATGAATCCTTAATGCTTAAGGTTAATGCCTGTGCGTGACACAACAGCTGGGGTTTAAATGTATTCTAAGGCCATGAGTACAAATGATTGACTATCCCCGTTATCTGCTCTCAGGTACGAGTTAAGGAGACGATGGTGCTCTCCCTGGTGCTCTCCTCCTCAGGTCAACATGTTCAACCTCATGAGCAATTGCTGCAGCTGGGTCTCCAAACTCCAGCAACCACTGAGGTACCTATACAATTCTATCTGTTTTTGTTGTTGTTGTTGTTGCTGATCAGAAGGGGTCAGCCTATTATCAACAAATGGCACATATGAAATAACCCTGTTTGAAAAATTTCTAGGAAGATCACAGTTCTAGTGGTTGGTTTGGACAAGGCTGGAAAAACATCTTGTGTCAGAGGGATGTTGAGAGGTAATTTAGGTCATTTGAATAAATGTTAAAGTACATCAGTGAGAGATTTGCTAAATTGACTGTGCAATTTGTTGAGTTTTAATGTTATGATACTTTGTTCAGTGCCCCCTGGAGATGTAGGTCCCACTCATGGATGTGTCCGCACTGAATTAAGGGTGGAGAACTACTTGGTTAACATACTGGATATGGGAGGGGCTCCTGAGGTTCGGGAGTCTTGGAAAGAACATTACGGTGAAGCTCACGGCATCATCTTTGTGGTGGATTCCAGTGACAGACAACAAATGAAAGAGGTCAAAGAAGCTCTGGTGGACTTACTGAAGCATCCAAGAGTAGCAGGAAAACCTCTTCTTGTGTAAGATAGCCCTGTTCACAACTGCTATTATTAAATCATCTTTCTGATGAAAATATATCAGTTTATTATTATAAATCATATAATATTTTTCAAATTATTTTCTTTGACAATGCTCCAAACGATTCCGTTTTTAAAATCAATATAAAACTCAGGTACAAATAGCAGTACTATCTTCAGTGTGTCTAATTTTGCCTGCAGTCCATCTTATTTTGGCCATCTCTATCTATATCTCATAACAGGCTGGCAAATAAACAGGACAAAATAAATGCTCTGCTGGGAAATGAACTCATTGAAATTCTCTCTCTAGAGAGGCTGGTCAACCAGAGCCGTTCCCTTTGCCACATCGTGAGTACTGTGAAACAATTGTGACATATTCAAAACATAAGATAAACCTCCAGAGTAAAGGAACTGACAATATGTGACCCTGGAGCACAAAACCAGTCTTAAGTCGCTGGGGTATATTTGTAGCAATAGCCAAAAATACATTGTATGGGTCAAAATGATTGATTTTTCTTTTATGCCAAAAATCATTAGATATTAAGTAAAGATCATGTTCCATGAAGATATTTTGTAAATTTCCTACTGTAAATATATTAAAACTTAATTTTTGATTAGTAATATGCATTGCTAAGAACTTCATTTGGACAATTTTAAAGGCGATTTTCTCAATATTTTGATTTTTTTTGTACCCTCAGATTCCAGATTTTCAAATAGTTGTATCTCGGCCAAATATTATATTATAATGTTAACATGTATGGCAACATTCTGACCGGTTACCAGTAGCTTTATTACAGTGTATTTTAAGCAGTCTGTTCTTAATCTACAGGAGCCATGTTCTGCCTCAATGGACCTGCGTCGCTGGTCAGACAGAAAGACTCTGCGAGGTCTCCGATGGCTACTGCGAGCCGTGTGCCTGGACTACCCTGACCTCTGTGCCCGTGTGATGAGAGATGGGAGGCGACCATTAGGGCCAGAAGAAAAAGAGAGGAGAGGAAAAATAGAGAAGAGCCGGAACAGATCTAAAGAGGAAAAGTAAGGGATGTGTTTATATAAGATAATATGTATTTACTATTTACACTACCGTTCAAAAGTTTGGGATCGGCACGATTTTTAAATGTTTGTTAGAGAAGTCTCTTATGCTCACCAAGGCTACATTTATTTGATAAAAAATACAGTAAAACAGTAATATTATGAAGTATTATTGCACTTTAAAATAACCGTTTCTATTTGATTTAAAATATAATTCTTGTGACGTCAAAGCTGAATTTTTAGCAGCCATTACTTTACTACAGTTTTTAGTGCCACATTATCCTGATTTGGTGTTCAAGAAACATTTATTTATTTATTTTTTATCAATGTTGAAAACAGTTGTTTTATATAGCCTATTATAAATAAGAATAGAAAGCTCAAAAGAAGAGTATCTATTTAAAATAGATTTTTTTTTAACTATCACTTTTCTTATTCATTCTTTCTGAATAATAAGAAAAAATTCTAACTGGCCCAAACATTTGCATACATCATATTATCTTAATTTGTATATATGATAATAAGATGTATGCAACTCATCTTGTCTTGCAGAACACGTACAAGCAAAACCGATATCCGTCAAGAACAGCACAATGAAACTGTGAGGAAAAATGGGACTCTGCAACCAATCCAAAATATTCTAAATAAGGTTAAATATCTTTATCATGGAATTTTTAACAAAACTGTACTGTTGTTTAATTGACTTCACTTATTGATTTACCCTTTGGCATTGTAGGAGAACTCTTTAAAAAAGAAACTAAGCAAAAAGAAGAAGGTGAAGGTTAAAATTAAGAAGGAGAGTCCAAGCAGAGGAGTAAATGAAGATGAAGTGGAGGAGACCGAAGGAAATGAAGCAGAACAGGACCACAACAGCCAGAAAGATAAAGCCAGCAGTGCATTACTGACTCCCAAACGAAGGAAAATGAAACGCAAAGCCAAAGTAAAAGAGGAGAACTCGGGTCTACCAGAGTCCCCCAACAGCGAGGTCTCAAGACCCTCTAGAGGTATTGAAACTTTAGTGTCATTAGAACTGAAATACTGCATCCTATTTCCTTTCATGCTTTTAAACTATGTATTCATAGGAAAAGAGGAAAGAATGAGAAAAAAGAAGACAGTTAAAGTAAAACGAAAGAACAAGATTAACACAGAGGAAGTTCCAGCAGCTTATGCACAGCCTGTTGATCTTTCAACTACTTTCGGTAAGAATCAGTGACCTCTATAACACTATTCATTTTGATCATGGCTGCTCATGGGGGAAATTTAGGCCTTGTGGGAGGAATTTTTAAACACAATTGTATATAAACTTTATATTTATTGGCAATCATTTTTCTACATTGATATTAAAACAATAAAACAAACCAAAGCATTTGCTCAACACAGACAGCCCTGATCTGTAGAAAAGTAGGAGTCTAATTTAAAGCATTTCATTTGCCTGTTTCCTAATAGACCTTTACCGAAAAGCAATTTTGGCTCTCAAAGCCCGACAGGAACAGGACATGGCTTCGGGATAGTAATGAAAAAGAAGAATGAAGACCTATGAAGAAATGGAAGATTTGGATGGATGGATGGATGACATGCTGAACCACTTATCAATGTCTTTTACCCAAACAGAAGTCTGCTATCAGTGTCTGCAAAAAGAAGTTACTGTTTTGTAATGGCTAGGTCGTCATTGTCAATACCTTTTGTAAATGTATACTTTGTATTGTAATTGTATTAAGAGATTATTGAGAAAGAATTATACTAAAAACGGGACATACATTCAAAAAGGTCTGTCCTGAAAAAAGACTGATAGTGTCCTAAAATATTTTTGTATTATAACTTACTCACATAACCTAAGACAGTATACGATGAATCAGTCTGATAGATAATCAAGATGGTTTATCATTAAGTATATTGCATTCACTGTATTTATCCTTGAGTCTGTTTTTACAGGTTTGAATAAGAAGATGCCTACCTTTTTTGTGAAATTTTATTCATTTTTACCCTTTTAAAATATATATATAAATCCGTTTCTTTTTAGCCAATTTATAATTTTTTTTTGGTGTGTGATGGTTTTATATGGAGAAAAAAATTGCATGATGGGATACCTATTGCTCAAAATGATTGTCCCTGATGCTTTTCAACAAAATAAATGAACAAAATCCTGATCAAAACACTGGGTTATTGTAATATATTATTAAACAATTAGTTTTGAATAAGAACCAGTTGGCGCTTTGTTAAGCTAGTCAGTCGAGGCTGTCCTCTCGCTGAACTGAAAAACAAAGGGAATATTTAATTTGACCATTTGTACAATAGGTAATTTAATGCCATTTATATTTTTAAATAATTACTAATAAGCTAGCGATTTTCTTTCAGGTATCAAATAGTTGTCTAAACAAACGGAATACTTTTGCTCACAATGGGACAAAACTGTTTCTGAACATCCTGCGGTGTCTTTGTAAGTGTGCTGGAGCCTCCTAGTGTTGAGAAGCACTGCTTGCAAGTTGCACTGCAGTTGGCTTTATGTCTATGGCATTTATAAACCGCAGCGCCATCTAATGGTGCTCCCTGGTACTGAAGCGGAATGACATGCAGCCATATTTGACTGTATTCATCAAGCCCTTCCCACTTCAGCATCTTCAGCAGGACTGTGAAGAAAGCCGGAGCGGGACAACGGATGCCAATCGAAAGGAGACTTTACAGAAGATGGCCTCGCCAAGAACCATAACCATTGTTGCCCTTTCCTTTGCACTGGGTCTGTTCTTCGTGTTCATGGGTACAATTAAACTCACACCAAGGTTAAGCAAAGATGCCTATAGTGAAATGGTAAGTGATCGTCGCTTAGCAGCATACATGTAAGCAAATGAAGGTTCAGCTGAAGGCAACCGGCTTTGTTTTAGGAGGGGGTGCGAGAGTAACTGGCTCTTTTTGCATTTTTCTATAAAATGTCCGCTAGTGCTGTCGCTGCCTGCTTGTGTAATTTAATTTTCATTCTTTCTTTTGGATGTGTCGGTGAATATAAGATAGACTTCATTTAATTCCATCTATAATCTTAGATATAAGAAAGACATAATTAAAATCCTGATTATGAGTCGAATTATGTAAAACATAATTGGAGCAGTTGAACAGCGCATTCTATGCACAGCCGCAGCATTGTTTCATTACCGCATAAATAGGTCAATTATGACATCACAATGCGCATCATCTGTATGATAAACAGAAGAAACGCTCTCAGATATGACGTGTGATGATTATTTTGCAATATCGTTCTAAAACAATCCTTGATGCAGCTCATGATAAAGCAATGGCGCCGCTTTCCAGCAAATTCTATCTTCCATCTGCAGGTGCAGCAGCTGCTGTGCTGATGTCATAGACACATTCATATATATATATATATATATATATATATATATATGAATAAATTACAATACAATTCAATGCAATACAGTTGGGTCAATATGAACATTAAAATAATACAAAAACAAAAATATATCAAGCATTTGCATCTATCTATCTGCTGTATAATTTCATCTGTTATTTTTGCAGTGCACATAATACATAGTTACATGCGTAACATATGTATTAATGTGAAATATTCTTGACAAAAATGTAAATTTAATGTTTATGTTCACTTTCCAGAAAAGGGCGTACAAAAGTTATGCAAAGGCCCTTCCAGCATTGAAAAAAATCGGCGTTTCTTCTGTTCTTCTACGCAAGATTATTGGTACTCTTGAGGTGGGATGTGGAATTGTTCTGACCCTTGTGCCAGGGAGACCAAAAGACGTGGCCAACTTTATTCTGCTACTGGTCATGCTAGCGGTGCTTTTCTTCCACCAGCTGGTTGGAGATCCTCTAAAACGCTATGCTCATGCCCTAGTGTTTGGTATTTTGCTGACGTGTCGGCTGCTCATTGCTCGTCAGGGTGAGGACCGGCCTGAGAGGGAGGAGAGACGAGAAGAGCAGATCACGGCCCAGGAAAAGAACAAAGTCAAAGTTTCTTAGCTCCACAATTTCAGAAAGAGCGCCTGGCAACAGATCTGTTTCTCTGGATAGTAGAGAAGGTGCTCGGAAAAAAAGACAGTAGTCCCAAAAGGTGATTTATGTCCCACAGCTACATATCAGAAGCCTGAAAACCAGATCTTATGTTACCTTTACCTCATGTCTTACCTGTAAAACTTCTTATTTAAAATACAAATTTTAAATTTGGACAATCACCATTGTGGCAACTGTTTTGGTTGTGGTTTTGCAACAAAAGATTAAACTACTGTAATTCCCTGTTGTATTTATTGTTATTATTATTTTGGCCCTGCATTGAACAATATCCAAAATGCCACTTTTAAGATTATACTGTGATACTGGTTTCTTCAAATGTCAACAATTTTTGTGATGGTTTATTTATTTTTGAACTACTGTCGATGAATACTATATAAAACCGGTTTTGTTTACATTGACATTGATTTTTTTATTATTTAAAAATGCTGTACATCATTTGTTTAAATGTTCGAGTCAGATGGCAGACAGCAACTTCTCTGTTGCCTCAAAATCTGTTACAACCATCAAAACTGAAAACATAACAGCGGTTTGTTTAGGTACATGTAAGTTCTGCATATTATTCTTTTTTAATTTGCATATAATAATATTTCTTTGTTTCTTTTTATCAAATTTCATTTTCTAGGTTGTCTCTCAAAAACAGTCAAATAAAAATCATATCCTTGAATTCTTCTTATGGTTGCTTTCTCCTTTTGAGTCATAGAACTACCAAATTGTTTTACTATTTTTATTACTAAAATTTATTTATTTTTTCTTCATTTTTTTATCTACTGTGTTTTCTTTAGATTAATTTGTTCCTTTATACTGTTCCTGAAAACCCAGCACTGCTCATTTGAGGTGTCTTACTAATTTTACATACTAAATTCAGGTTATGCATCACTACTAATAAACTGAAGAGATGAATCAGGTGTGTCAAATAAGTGATACATTCTAAATGCACAGTGCTGGAAGGAGTAGAATTGAGAAACTTGTCTGATATGTTTGGATGTATACTGATAATTTGCTGTTTGTAACTGAGTAAAAATATCTAACGGAGAACATGACCTGTGTCTAAACCTCTACCAGAATGCCCAGCTAATTCATGAACTGAATTGTGCATTCGTAGTTTACACAGAATGGGTCATATTACACTTTTGACAGTGAGGGGGGAAAAAAAAAAAGATGTTTGTGCATGCAGATGCTGACAATAAAACCTCTATGCAGTTTATCATGGAGTTTGGTGACAGTATTAAAAACACCACTTGTGATTTTTATGTCTTGCTCACTTTTTACTAAACAGATTTAAATATGAATAGAATGTTACCATCAGCATATTCTTGTTCAAAACTAAATTGGTCAACCATATTTATGCTAATAATGTAAATCTTGCAGCATATATGCTATTTAGTATATTTAAGCTCAATGTAATGCAAACAAAAACAAATTATCCTCAAAAATAGTTATCCTCACAAAAATATATATATATATTTAATCCACCAAAAGAAATATTTAAAGTGTGGAATGTGGATGTATAGTATTTTCTTAGTATGCATCATTAGAGTATCATCACATAATAGTGATACTGTGCCCTTTTTTCTTTTACAGTTCTTTTCCATTTAATACCAACCAATCTATTTATCAAATATAGTCAACTCAGTATATTGATGTCTCAAAATTTGGTCTGACATTCTGCTGTTTTATAATGAATATTTTAATTCATTTTTCAACCACTTTGACGTTGCTCACCCCAGTCCAGTAGGTGGCAGATAAGCACTTCCTACGTTGGTTTGCCAACCACCATAAAATATCACATGAAGTAGAAGAGTGGCTCAGCAAGGGTGTTTGTATGTGGGTTGGTAGGTTAATCAGGAGATTGTAGATAGAGTGTCAATGGTCCATTTGAGATATAGGTGGCGGTAATGCACTTATAAGTCTGCGATCCGCCGTAAAGCAACAAGAAGAAGAAGAAGAAGAAGAGTGGCTCAGTATTGCTCTGGGCTGCGTTTCAAGCGTTGTAAGCCTATTTTGGGAAACGCAGCCCTGAGTAGTAGTCTACCAGTGATACCTTGGAAATAATAATAATAATCACTTATAATAATAAAATCACATAATAATAATCTCTTAGACACAGCAGCCACGTATAAAATATTAGCCGTATAATATTTTACACTCGTGGAACTTCCCTTGATATTTATTTGAGTGTGCATCTAATTTGCTTTGTTAATATTTAAAACTATACACAATTGTTTATGTTTTAACAACGATAAATGCAAATTACGAATTCAATGAAAAAAATAAATAAAATGAATTCTGAAACAACCATATATTAATAACATATTTGTTGCAGTAAAGCTATTCCGCTTCCAGTAGGTGGCGGGAATGCACCTATCGTTTGTTTGCCAACCGCCATAAAACTCCAAAAGAAGAAGAAGAAGCTATTCCGCTTTCAGTTCATTGCGCTATTGGCAGTACAGGAAGTGATGCAGTGCGCATGTCCAAACGGTCGCGGCAGATTTGGCGTTTGGTTTGAATGGATTACTTCAGCGACCGAGACAAACACGCGAGAGAGAGCAAATAATAATATAATGTAGCGAAAAAATGGCCGATTTATCTAACCTGGCGGGGTTAGTCTCCGAACCGTCCGGAGAAATAGACTCCTCCGTCTCCTCTGTGAGCAACAGAAGTTTGCGTTTGGCAGAAAAAGAAAAGAGAAAAGGCGTGGCGGATCCCTTTGGTCTCGCGGTGAAGTATTTGTCTCAGGGTAAGTGCAGCATAAAACATTATAGAAACGGATTACAAAAACTATTTTAGAGGGTTACAGTTTAATAGTAGGGACGTTTTTATTTATTTATTTAATTAATTGTTCCTTTAGTTCTTTTGTTTTTGTTCCTTTAGTAACTCTGATAACGACTTCAAGTCTGTTAAGGTCTTTTGTTTATCTGTGTAAGGGTGTCGTCATCAGATACTGTATCACATCTAAGTGTCATAATATCTGTTTACATGTATTGTTGTATGTTACAGTGGAAGCTGGCACAGTAGTCAGAGGGAATGATGAGCTGGAGAGGAATATGGTGAGGGTGGAGACAGTGGCTCTCAGTAAGGGTCTTCCTCCGGAGGTCATCACAATGCTCCTGGACTTGGCTTTAAGCCTCAATGCAGGTAATATAATTAGGGGATGCACAGATTTCTTCAGCTGTATTTGTTTACATTATAACATGAGCAGGAATTCATCATGAGAAACATTATGGCAATTAGATCACAATCAAACATATCAGCAGTTGCTCATCCTCATTCTGCTGAGTGCATTTAGGGGTTTATGGCACAGATGATTAAATTAAGTTCATCCGACAGGAACTGCGAACTGTACCCGGGTGCTGAAGTTTCTCCTACCTGCCACAGTGGTGCCGCAGGAGGCAATTGTAAAGGGGGTGTCGTGGCTGTGTGTAGGGAAAATGCCAATGAATGCACAGGTGAGGGCTGTCGATTGTATCTGGTCATTAGTGAAATGGCTGTCATTTGCTTTTGCTTCACTGGTATCAAAATTAGGTATCGGAAATGAAAATGAATGCATTTTCTAAATACATGTTATAAATCTTGAAAGATTCATCTGTATATGTTCTTTAATTATTTTTTTTCTTCCTTTGTTAATTTTTTTTGAAGATTTAAAAAAAAATTTATTTAAGTTTGAATCAAAATATCATGTCTCTGTCTTATGGTGGAATGACAGACTTCTCTCTGGTTATGTATTTAGGACTTTGACAGTTATTTAGTCCCCCCTTAAACCCACCCCTGCAGGCTTGATTTCATCTGACTCTATTTTTTTAATACATCACCCACCTGTCAAAATCCAGTCAACACCCATTGCATAGAACCAAGTCTTGTATCTGTCCCTGTCAAAATCTGTCACTGCTTCTGTTTCATTGCTATTTTTGAACATTTGGTTCATATCTTTTCTTTTAAGGTTCTCTTTGTCCGCTGGGTGCTCACTGTTTTTGACCTGATTGACTGCAAAGATGACTTGAGATCCATTTATGGCTTCATTTTCAGCTTTGTGACGGAAGAAAATCTGGTTAGTTGTGCTTTGCAAAGTTTTTTTCTAATTTAGGATATGTCCATGTTGTAAATCTACTGGTATATGTTTTATAATTGCATTAAAAAAAAGTTTTCCATGTTAATTTACTAGGCTATTTTTTTTTTCTTCCAGTTCCCTTTTATTTGCCACTTGTTGTACCTTTTAACCATGTGGGAACATGGTGAGTTGTTAACGAAGTGGTTTAATTTTTTTGTCTGTAAATGCTGTAATAGTACTACATGATGTTACTTGCTTGTTATTCTGATTTTTTTTTTTTTCCACTTTCGTAGTTCACTCATACAGAGTCAGGAAACTGTTGGATATTCAGGCCAAAATGGTAAAGACTCCATCTATTAAAATAAACACCTCAATATCCTTTATTATAAATGTAGATTAACTCTAGTGCTAGAGAATGTTTCTTGTAATTGGATGTTTCATTTGACAAGTACTTTGTGTTTCTCCCCTTTTTCCTATTAGGGTAGACAACCATTTCTCACACAACTTCTAGCACTCTACAAAGTGTTCCGACCAGACCTAGTGACGCTCTCTCTTCCATCAAGAGCGAGGGTTAGTGTATTGTATTCGTTACTGTTTTTTTCCAACAGAGCTTTGTTCTTCTGCCAGGTGTTTCAGACTCTTAGACAATGGAATTTTTTGTTTTTCAGACTGGATTCAAAAATCACAACTCCACCTGGAAAGTGGCTCTTTGTGCTGTGCAGAGGAAAAACAAGAGTGCTGTTTTAGCTGACCAGAGCCTCAGCCTGGATGTGAAAGAGAAGCCATCCTCCAGAAAACGGGTAAGATGTCATCTTTGTAATACTGTAAAGAGCTTTAGAGAACACTGACTTGTCAACTAAAGGCTGTTACACACATCACAATTTTTAACAGATTTTTAAACACTAGACTTGCCTAAAAGCTGGGCATCATACACTAAATTATGCAGGCAGCATCACATGCTACCAGACTTTCAAATTGGTCCAAACACAATGCACCTTGTTGCCAGGAGACCAGTGACCAAATTTGGATGCACTTCATCCACCATGTTGTTACGTTGTTACTGTTACGTGACTTACCAGTGCTAGGTGCGTCGTTTCACAATGCAATTCACAAATGGTCTCATGTGGCCTCATGGGAAAGTAAACTTCAGAATTTTGTCAATAATAGTAGGTCATTCAGGTACTTTTCACCTACTGGTTTAAAGTGAAATTGGAAGTGATGTGTGGCCAAGTATGGTGAATTTGTGCTCTGCATTTAATCCATACA